TTTCTATTATTAATTAATTTATAATATATAGTTCCTGAAATATTGTGTTTAAAAAAATAAATAATTATTGCCATAAATTAGAGTTAGATAATATGTTATGTGAGTACCTATATGTAAAAAATAATTTAGTATAATAATAACTGCAAGCCTTTGCTAGTTAATGAAAATTTTTAACTGAGTTAAGTATTTCAAAAAGTTTTAGGTTAATAGTTCTCCTAATTTTATTTTTAATTCAGTTAAGTTAAAATTGATTTGGAAAATTACAACTAACTTATTTTTTTTTATGTACATAAATAGCCAGTTTCCTGGTTTTAAAATAATAAAAAGTACATTTTGATGTAATACATATATGTAGCATCATCAATAATAATAATTATTACTATATTTATTATTTAATGTTTTATAAACAAACTAAGCAACTAGGACTTGATTAAAAGTAACTCATTATTTAATAAATGTTTAGCAATAAAAATCAGTTAAGTTAAAAATGTTAAGACATTGAAAATTATATTTGAAAACAGCAAGTGTGTGGAGGTCGCTCTGCTGTACATTAGGTTACATGTGGGTCAATGTAATGGATGGTGTTAAGTTTGAATTCAACGATAAAAAAATCATTGTATGCGAAAAACGATTCTGAGCGAAGACGGCCTGTCAGTCTATAATATTACTCAATAATTTAGTATATTCGATGATATTATTGTGATTAAAGTAATTTATTTTACAAGTAAGTATTAGTACTACGCAGTAGATTAAATTCATTAAAAATTTGTACATTTGAAAAGTCATGGTGGGTATAAAATAAAATAATATACTTTAAAAGTTTCAAGTACCCACGAATAATATTTTTAATTTACAACAAAATAACATAAATCATTATTCTTGACAATTTAACCCTTAATTTAGTTCACATTTGAACATAAAAAATCTGAAAACTTCAAATGTTTATAAAAATTTAATGCGACTTTCCGGAAGAATTTTTTTTTTTATATAGGCAGACAAATTTATAAGGAATCTTGTATTTAGTTTTAAAAACTTAGGGATAAAACGAAACATTTTTATGAATTTCTAACTCAAAATATTTTGCACATTTTCGTGACTTTTACTTATTTTGTCAAAATTCAAACGCTTATAAAAATTTGTTGTTAAAATTATATGGTTTATAGAAAACGCCGTTATAAATATTCAGTAAAAATTTCATGTAAGTATATCTACGGTTTTTTTTTTTTTTTGAAAGTCACATCAAAAACCAAAATCGATTTTGTCGAAAACCGGGTTTCCGTAAAAATGCGCTTTTTAAAATTAATTTTTAGTTTGTTTTTCCTGCCGCTTTTGGAAACTATTGAGAATTTTTTAATGAATTTTTTATATTTCTACTAGGAAAGATGCTTGTTGAAGAAAATCTAAGCACTTATACTCTCCCAAAATAACGTAATGACAGAAACAAAAAAATTAAAAAATAAATTGTAAAATAAATTCTTATGGACATGATCATTTGTAGCGTATGTACGACGTGTAAATATATGAGAAGTGCTTAATGATTTGGCAAAAAAAATTAAAAGTAGCCCTAGTTCGATAAAAAAAACCACATTTGTAATTTTATATGTGAAAGAGTAAAAAAAAAAAGATATGTACATTGGTACAAAAGTAATCATTCTAATAAGATATGTTTTTTTGTTAAATTGAACTATTTATCTATTTATCTATTTATTTCATTACTATTTATTATATTATATAAAGATACCTTTACTAGTATAAAAGTATAATATTTTTCATAATCGCTCGTACGAGTTGATTACTGGTTAGGATATAGTGAGTTTACTACTCTGTGAACATTTTTGTTTTTTAGATGCAATTATAATATAATGTAATATTAATATATAATAGAATAAAGAAATATATATATAACACTAAATATATAGTGTCCTGTAACTGCTAACTTTTTATTTAAAAAAAATTATAAGTAATAAATTAAAATTGTGTCTTATGAGTAATCACTTATAACGGATATTTCTAAATTAAACCGTATAATAAATGTATATTTCAAGTACTTAAAAATAGCTTATAATTTATTATAAAATTACCCTACGATCAGGGAGCAGAAAAACGACGACGACGACCAGCGGGGTTTGTATATTATTTGATCTCTCGTATTTTATGCATTTGCTCTCAGAAATAAAATATGTGTCTACATAGGGGTACCATGTTTTTCATGAAATTAAATTTTATTTGAAGTATAAAAAATAAATTTAAGCACCAAAAAAATATGAAACCAAAATTAATTACTTTAAACATCGACGCTATCGGGCTTCGGCGGAATTCCTGATATTGTGTGCGCACTGCGGAATAAATCAGAAATACGACTGAACTTAAGTCTTAAAATATTGAGATTTATAATGAAAAAAAAAACCGTACGGATCGCTTCATGTTTCTTGTTCATGTCTACAGCTTTGCTAACTGAAATTTTAAATCGATTGCGTCTTTGCAACTACTTCGACAATCGCCACGGATTGCATTATAATTTATACTACGTCAATATGATAAACCCATAGATGTATGGTATATTACAAATTCTTATATCAAGGAGGTCCGTGTTTGAGATTTGATCATCAAGATAATGAAATGAGGCATAACAACAACCGAAATAGTTTATAATTTTAAAATGTAAATTACAAAAATATATAAAGTACCTATTATTTAAATTTTTAATTTAATAATTAATAAAGGTGGTGTTTAAATATTCGATGCACAAGCATATTAATTTATGAGTTATTAAATATAAATCTTATTGTAAATAAATGTAATTACTACTTTTTAGATTTAACCAGGAATGTATTGGTAAAAAATGTCTTGTGTATACGGCATATTTTTTTAAATGTATCTTAAAAATTTTTTTCGCTCCTCTCGAAAATTGGTGTGCATAAGTATAACATTTAACATTATTCTTACTTCATTATCAGTATCAACCAATATTTTTTTAAATATAAAATCCATTAATATGTTGAAAATATTATTTTTATTTTTACACTATAAAATTTAAAAGACCAATTTCAAATCTTCAAAAACAATTAATAAAATAATACACGCTTTTCCATTTACCTCCATCCTCCGTATACCCGCCGTATACTTATAAATAAATATTTATTTCAAGTATAAGCATTTCTTCGTAAATATTGTTATGAGTATAAGCCGTAGGTATACTCCCGTATACGCTCCAACACACCACTGGATTTAACAAAAAGGTATTCAGTGCCTAATGCATCACATTTACCGTATACCGACTATACAAACTATAGTTTGTAAAATTCCAAGTTAAATCTTTTCTCTGAATTCTGTCGAGCACGAAATTAATAATTAATATTTTATGTATTAAATTTGAGTGCATTGGTTAGTTAGTTATAATTTATGCTATTCTCGAATAGCTAATTCGAAATTAAAATTTCGTTAATTTAAAATTTAAAATTTCCTTATTTAATTTCCGATAGATATTCAATAATCAGCAGACCAAATTTCCCAGCTCTATAAAATAATTTGATGTTTGATGCACGACGGCGTCACTCTAATTCGTGGTTCGACCACAAGCAAACGACATAGTAATATTCATAAGTTACTTAACATGTATATAAACTAAAAATAAAAATTGTTGAATTTTGAGGGACATAAGAACTCCCGTGTACTGTACTACTGTAGTATGACTAGTATGTATAACATTATTTATATCTATTTAATTGTATAAATTATGTTAATATTCTGCGACCTGGATATGCCGTCGTCGTTTGTGCTATAAGCGTATTTTTTTGTGTTGCGCGCTCGGGAACAAAAAATATGCCCCTACTTTACCCGTTTAGCAAATTGTGTGAGACAATAAATTTTAATTTTGAGACTAAAAAGTAAAATATGTAAGCCCCAAAAGAATAGGTAATCAAACTTACGTATACATCGACTCTTCGGGAAATATATAGCTGAAAAGACATATCTTGAGTGCAGACGCCATATCGAGGAACTTCTTTCTTCATCTAAATCCGAACTGTAAAAATCGAGATTCTTTATAAAAATTACTTGAGTAGAATGAAATATGTGAGCAAATATTTATGGTTGCCCTACACATTTCTCTTTTGTTCAATGAAATTATTACAATTGTGAATCGTCTCCGGCGAGTGACGACGAGTGACGACGATCGACTTTTGCCATAGATGTTAGATATTATAATATAATATGTTGTTATCAGTTTTCAAGTTTTTGACATCTTTGGATGACACGATACATTTTTTATTTCAGATTATCAGTAAATCATTTATTTGTTGAAACAGATTAAATTACTGAATATCAAGAGTACTCATTGGCTGAACTGCAGTTGCAGTGTAGTCTGGCAATTGACAATAACAGGTATTGTATATAATTATTTCAAAATAATATATTATTTAATTAATTGTCTTAAATAATTTTTAGATATATATTATCCGAAGCAGTTTTTTATGGACATGGTTATTATGTTGGGTATGTAAGCCGTGTAAATAGATGAGAAGTGCACAAATATTTGGCAAAAAAAATTAAAAGTACCCCTAGTTCAATAAAAATAAAACCACATGTAATTTTATATGTGAAAGAGACATGTACTTGGTACAAAAGTCAACTATAGCAATAAAAACAACAACACAACACAGGTTTGTGATCTATTTATTGGTTTTTATACATTATAGTGACCAGCCATAGAAAAATATATTCTGACACACAAGTAGGTATATGTATTATTATAATACATTGCCACTGTATAATTATGAAATGAGAAATGCGAAGATTGGTTTTCATGTAAAATAATATAAAATATATTAGGTAGGTATATTTATACATAAATAATATGTCTACAGTGTAATTATACAAATTACAAATAGGTACATAAAAATATTGATGTTTTCTTAATAAAATATAATAGGTATACATTTTTAACACTATAAATTGTTTATAATTTATCACTTCGTAGTCATATGGCTATATAATCATATTGTATCATATTAAATACACCAATAATATTATATTAAATTTAAAATGTAAATGCATATTTTATACACGTCCAACACAGTTGAAATATGAAATAGAAAAAAAGGACGACGCACACCTTATGCAGACAGAACAACCTGGAAAAATAAAACAATTGTATTAATACTTGGGTAAATCAATAAAAATGTATCTAAGTATTTTTTATCCGCAATTCATAAGCGGTTAGGTCAGGACGGTTGTGTGAATGTATCTTGACACTTAACATTTCACACGCCACATTTAAAACCGAAAAGCGTTAGTATAATAATTTAAAGATTTATAAGTTATTGAGGAAATCTCTAAACAATCGTAGTTCGTCCTTACATCGCGTTTGTTGTGGAAGCGCATTAAAGCTTTTGAGTTCTAAGAAGCTGTACCTACCTATATTATAATATTTTATTTTTATAATGTGATGCAAAATATTTTGACGATCCTGATTCCTGACACGTTAGTATCTATATAGTTTTTAATGAGGTTTTTAATTATAAACATTTACAGAGTATATAGATGATAATTAGAGAACTGCAGATAGGAGCATACCCAGGACGGGTTCATGATACGTATCTACATAGGTGCATATGACACTAAAACTTCAAAGATTTAAAAAAAATTCACACACACATAAGTATTAGAGTGGAAATGATACAGGGAAGTGCCAATTTCAATTATAGGTATATCTACAAATTATTTTGCGAAACAAGATAATTTTATAATTATTTAATGTTCTAATTAGTAAGTTTGATTATGAAAATATATAAAAGTGCCAATAGTATTTTATATATCAATAATATAGATATTACGATATATGTGTTTATAAATCGTCATTATTTGTCAATATAATAAATTATATTAAGCAGAATATTATAAAAATCATATTAAGATTAACACAGTTATAGGTAAAACTCATGCTAGCAATAAAATAAATCTATTGATACGTTTATAGGTAAGTTTGGCACTTTTGAACGATAAAGTTCTAAAATTCTAAATTCAATGTCTGGAATTAAATAGAGAGCGAAGTGCGATTTGCATGCATTTATAACAACTATATTATATGAGCGGTCGGCAATGGAACACAATATATTTTATTTCATTATCTGGGTATTGCGCCACAACAAAATTACAAAATGCTTAAAGAGTACTAGTAACTGGCCCCATATATATTTTATAACTTATTTAAAATTACTTATAACTTTATAGGTACCTAATTTTAAATGCAGTTGATACAAATCACATTTATACTTTTTCATCAGGTATTTCATTCATTCAATAAAATAACATGGCTGCATAGTGCAATTATAAATATCATAGTAATTATATAAATAATAAGCCAAAAACAATTATTTATTTTTAAATAATGAGTTAGAGATTGTACAAAATCAAACCTTCGTGAGTATTTCTTCATTACGTTTTAGAATATACCTACTAATTATGTCAGGCAAAGTCTGTTTCCTGGTTTTCTGTATGACTTTAGCTATGCTTCTAAAATTGTAGTGTGAATATTTGATTGTAAATGTGGACTTTGCAATATAAAACATTAAAAAACTATGGATCTTTGGTTATGACATAAATTGAAGTTATTTTTGATATGTGAATGAAAGTATTTGAAGGTATTAGTTAAGTAATGACCCAATTATGGGGTCGGATGCACCTTTTATAAATGTAAAATTTTGATGGTCAAGTTACCGTACTCGTTTTTTTAAATGTTAACTGCGGTCTAATTCCCAAACGCCTTTCTATGAACTCCCTTCTTATCTCATTTTTGTGACTTATGTCGACTCATTTCCACCAAAAAGATTTAAATTTTTTATAAATATTGTAGCGAAGGTGTGTGATAGAACCCATTACCCATGTACTAATATCCGTACATAGATGAATACATACTTCCAGTTTTTAGATATTGCTTTGTCCAGGTTACTCAATTCTTCGTGTAGTACATGTTTTCTAATTCCGTAGTAATAACTTTTGATATATGATTTCCAGTCGAAATTTTCCATGCCGAATTCAAATTGGTCACGGTCTTCGATGCTCAGTGACGATAACAATTTGACGCTATTGCTGTTGTCAAATTTCCATTGGTTCGTAGTAAACACACGAAGTAAGCCAGTCATAAATTCTGTTTTCGAATACATTTTCAACATTCTGTTCAAAAATATTTTTAAATTAAAATAGTATTATATATATATATATATATAGGTTGCCAATTATTAACTCGTGCATTATGCACGTGACAGTATAATTTTCGTCAATGGTCATTATTTTGAGAACTTGGAGTTAAATTAGAAATATCAATACATTATCAAAACGTATATAATAGAATAGCTTACAGAAGTTATACTGGGTGTAACAAACAATTTGTTAGATTTCAAAAAAATCATATTTATTGTAAAATGTGAGTAACATTACAAATTATAATCCCCACTTTTTTCACTCTAACTTGAAGTCGTAACTCTTACAAGCTAAAAAGAAAGTAAAGTAACTTTTTCAACATTAAATTTAACTTACACACTTTGTATGCACTAATAACTCAACGTAAAGCGTTAATGATATTATAGTTAGTTGACCTAGCTTTATTAATGCTTGTACATAAAATATAAATATATCTTTTTGAGATATTGAAGAAGATGGCTTTAGTTATCACCGTAAAATAGGTGCCTACTGTTTCAAATTAAATAACACAATAAATCACTTACTTGGGACTTTTTCCGCTTATGATTAAAAGAAAGTCCACAAATGCTGCCGGTATCCGGTGCAGGAGAAATTTCAAAATCATGCCGATCCATAAGTTTGTGTACATAATATAAGTCGCGTACCACATTGACCGCAAAGGAGGTGACACATAGTAATGCTCAGTCATTCCTCCGATGTATTCATTCCATGTCAACGGGCTATCAGTGCTCGAAACAAAATTATAGATTTTTGGTTGTTCGTTTGTATTATCATTGTCTTGATGTCTGAAAATGATCGAAATTAATGGTATTATACAGCAACGCGTGTGCATAAAATATAAAATATTATTAGCTATATACTGCACAGTGCTTGATTTGGGAGGAAATCAGAAGGGGGAGCAAAAGTGTATAAAAATAAAATGTGCGTAACTGAATATGAAAATGTCTTATTGATTAGGATTTACTTACGATGGGTAAGCATAAATATTTTCTTAAAAGAAGGACTCCGTCTTCTCACGTCACCCTTAAATCAAGCACCATATAAACAACATCTATCATAGTACTGCAGGAGCAGGACTATAAATTATGTTACTCAGTAATGTAACACTGTGTTAGGATTTTCCTCACCCCCTCGTCACCGTGGAAAATGTGACTTTTTATATGCACCCCCAAAACAATTTTAGGTATAAACTAACAATAATAAAAATAACTTGTCTTAAAATAGTTTGTCTCAATAAAAATTATTTTTATTGATATGATTGTGGTGCTTTAATTCTATTTCATAAAAAGTATGTTACAGCGAAAAAAAAATGAATAACTTCAGTCACATAATATTATTAATTATTGTTAAAATATATTATCATCTACCTTTTAACGGTATCCCACATAACACTGATGAGTGCGTTGGCAGTATAATCCGCTGGGATTATATCAGTTACTTTGTCCGTGGAAATTTGAAGTGTTCTTAAGAATCCGACTATGACACCGGTTAATATTCCTGTAGGCCCGTTCATGTTCTCCAACCATCCTGGTTCCGGTTCGGATTTCGTGCACCCGACTATAAAACATAAAAATAAATTATAAAAGTATTTAGATACCTACTTACACAAAATTACGAGTGTAATATTATACAGTGGTTTTTGAGTAATTATTCATATTTTATTTACAGGCCTATGGCGTAGGTATACAGAAATGTCCAATGTGGGGAGAGTATTATAAAAAATATTTACTATGTATGTATATGCATCTGAGGCATTTGATTTGAAGAAACATGTTTAAGTCTTTATTTAGTGAGAATATCCAACAAATCATTTGCTCATTTTCATTCATCGTTTTTAAAATATTAATCTTTAAAAACTATAAAACGAATTTATTGAAAAAATCATATCAGCTTAAAAAATAAATACTTGAATATATTTGTCTCATCATGATATTATTGTTATAATGAATGTATGTATTAATTATTTTTTGTGCATGGTATTTAATAAAATAAAATACAGGAAATCCGTCAAGTTATTACAGCTATTCTTGTTATCCCTGCACTGTATTATGACTATGTTTTTAATTTAGGAGCTTACTGAACACAAATTTCGGCTCGGGAGATCTATATTTAGGCTGGCCCTTATTATTTCTTAAACTCAAATATCTAAAGACCCAAGCAGACTAGTGTATTACCATTACTGTATTACTATTACATACTAAGGTATTAATTATTTACTATTACCTATTGGAAATAGTTGTGTTAATTTCCGGTCGGACTTAGTTTCAAAGTTGTAGCCATTTTTAGTTAGTCACTTTTATGGTAGGTACCTAATGTTTAAACTTTAAATGGATATCTTCACTTTTATAGTACTAAGCACATTTTTGTCACGCTGTGGATACGATACATAATCGATAAAATCTTTATGCCACACATATTTGACATTATATTTATAGGTATCCATCGGTAATTCTTACAGGTGTTAAGTGACTGCAACTTCAAAAGTTCTGCACCGAATTGTTTTTAAGAATACGTCATAGGTAACGAATATTAAAGTTAGTCACTTTTAAAAACTTAACATCGAACATTTAACGCGAGTACTTGATTACTTTTACAAATCAGCCAGAATAAAATATAAATAGTAATCATTAACTGACAGGCATAGGTACAACATAATATTATTATTTTTTCTACGTGTTATTATTGTAACTAATGACTTTAGATCAGAGAAATAGATCATATAATATAACGTATAATATACCTGAAGATTAATGATTGTAATATTATGTATATAGATCAAATAAACACTTACTAATCGATGGACGAAAAATGGAAATAGGCAAGCGGTTTTCGTTGGTTGATATCAAATCTTCAGTGATTGCTTTTGTAAAAGTGTACGTGTTTGGCCAATTTTCCAGAATTCTATTATTTAATTGTAAATAATTATTATACACCGAAAAAAATTATCCATCATCTACATCGTTATATTTTATTAAAATATATTTACTTAGGTTCAGACAGATCGTCTGTCCCCAGCATGTTTTTTAGCTCCTTGGCCGTAACCGGAGTCGGATAGTATTGTTCTCTGATCTCATCCCTGGGACAGTGCGAATATGCGGTCGACACGTGCACAAAACCCTGCGAAATAATTAACGACATTGAGTTAATTGTATTGTATGGAATTACATAAAATGTTATTTTCATGTCTTTCGTCTCACGTCTGTTGATATTTTACAAAAAAAATAAACCGGTTTTGTACACACAAATAAGTGCATTGTACTTATTATATTATTAAGCGCATACGCAGTACGTCAGCATAGCTATGCAAACTGCGAACTTGTACCTTAAGATTTTTCATCTGCGCAGCTAATGTCAAAAGGTTGTAGGTTCCTTGAATGTTTATTTTGGTCGCCAACTCCAGAGCTTCGTTGAATTTGATCGTGGCTGCGCAATGAAAAACAAAATTCACATTTTCCATAATCCAGTTACGATCCGCTGTTGATAAACCCAACGATTCTTCTTCGATATTTCCATCAATGACTTTAATATGGTCCATGAAATCGGGTTTTTCATTACGAAGTCGGTCGAAAAGCTATTTAGATTAAAACACAATATTATTATTGAAACAATCAAACACATCATAATTATATTATCAGTATTCTGAGCTATCTGAACAAGCAAATGTGTGTGTTATAATATATGCAACATATAATATTTTAAAAAAAAGTTAAAGTTAGTAGAATTGAGCTGTAATGAATATGTTAACTTGAATGCGATAAACAATTTTAAAATGTATTTATATCAAATAAATATGTATCTTATATGCTATATTTTAATAAGTCGATCTGAACGGAGATGCGTGGTGTATAAGCCTGTATAGTTATTTGTTAAAAATGTCTTACAAATATTAATTTTATATTTTAATATTTAATAATTTTTTTATAAGAAATACGGCATGTTGTAAGTTGTTCACTAATCTTTATCAAAAGCATCGTACATATTATTTAATATTAGTCATTATGATTTTTTCATAAAATATTATTGTTTTAAACAAAATCAACCTACAAGTAAATATCACGTGCTGCAGAACGATACGAATAGTTAGTGGTATAAAATAAGTCTATATATATCTATTTAAGACTAAATGATTATAAGATGAAAATACAAATATTTGATAAAAATCCATACGGTTATTCCTTTTTAAGTTACAAAAACAATTGACGATGTCGAAAACTGGTATTGTTCTAAGTTAATTTTTCGGTATTAATTTTTCTCGATTATTTTAAAACGTACCGATATCTTTTTACTTTTGACCCAAAATACCAATAAGATTCAATTTGTTACCAGAAACCACTCATCTCAAAGTCCCAGATCGATCATTTTAATATTTTACTGTAAAGTAGTACTGTTAAGGCAACTACAGACACAAAAATAAAATTATAAATAAAATGCAAATCATTTAAAACCAATACGTTTATTGCTCAGCTCAGAATCTAAAAGCATTTTTTCAAAATTGTTATATTACACAAAATATTAAAATATTCAATTCATTGAATTTTATTATTTCAACATTTTTATTCACATTATATTATAGGTAGTAAAAGAAATTATCTTTACTAATTTACGATAAGATATTGTAAATATTTATTATATTATTATAGATTATGTACTAATGAATTATTAATTATTAACTGTCGAAATATTAAATATTCATTTTATTATTCAATATTATAACTGATTTAATTTAGTTCCGTTGAGGAAATCTCCAAACATTAATTAATTGTGAAATTAAATATCCAAGTATTATATAATATGAGGTGTAGAAGTTTGTATTTTTTATGCAAAATTATATTTTTAACCAACTTCTTATCTAAATTAAAATGTTGACTACCATGATTTGATGTCTACTGTAAGTTAATAGTTAATTATTTAATTCGTTTTGTTAGTAATAATATTAAATTATCAGTGTCAAGAAAATAGTTTGAAAAAATATATACAATAATATATTACATTAACGTATTCAATTTTTAAAAAACCATAGCAACAAATAACGAATCTTTATAACTATATAATATATAAAATGACTGACTAATTCAACATCGCCTAAAGCCTAGGCGGAACCACTGAAGGTCTGAGGCTATGAGCACGAAATTTGTTCAGTAGTTTCGTTTTATGATGCAAAGACCCATTAAGAAAGTATTATCCAAAATCCACTTTTTAAAGAGATCCTCAAACAAGGATTTTGAGATTGAAGGTGGAAATCGACATTTGGTTTACATTAATAATAGGAGAAATTACAAATTAATATTATTATTTTTTATATTTAAATGGTTGCTACTGATAATCCTTGCAAATGAGGTGAAATCGGAAGTTGACCCGTCGTAACTTTGAACTTTTTAGAAGAGTACCAAGAAACAACGATTCTTAATAAACTTGTAAAATGATCTAATAAATAATAATTATAATATTAATATTGGTAATGATCTAAAGGCTATCGACTCAAATATTGATACACATACTATACGTCACGATCTTAAGTCTAACAAAATTAGCCAACCTTACATAGTTCATGCCAATAAAGTTTAAAAAAATAAAATAAAAACAATAATGTCAGGTTTGACGTAAAAAAAAGCACAAAAGTTATATTTTCGAACATCGTTATTTGAAATAATTTTTTTACATTACATTTACGTTTATTGTTAATATTTGATTGATGATTGATGATAATCTATTATTATGTTTAATAGTATTTAGTTTTTTCGTTTCACGTTTGTTGATAACGTTTATTTTTTGAACATTTTTTCGTTATACAGTTATGAATAACGTTTTGATGGTATGGGAGAATATAAAAATTCCTATTTTAAAATTGTATCGATATAAATATATAATACTGACAACTGAAATTATAAACAATCATCCTTGTAATTCGATTTGTAAAACTCCATAAAACTGTTATACCTATTAAATTTATATTTTAAAATTAATAATCTCACTGTCGTTTTAAAATATAAAATCTCATACTCAAATAGTCTTATGATGGTTTAAAAATTTGAATTACGAGGATGTTTCTTTAATTTCATGACAACACCAATTTTGAGTGATAAATAATACCTATATACTATAATAGTCCAGTGATTTAAAAAGTCATTTTATAGAATAAAATATTATGAAAATGTTAGAACATCCAAAAAAGTGCTATACGTAGTGGCCGTTTACTCGCAGCATGTATAGACTATTAAAGCTCACCACATCAAATATTGCAACGATGGATTTCACAGTTCATCTGTTTAAGCTACAAACATATTATATAAATGCATATTTTTGTTGAAAGTTTTGTCAGTTATATTTTTGAATCGACGTATTTTTGTGATAAAATTAATGTTTTCAAACTTAATTGTAAGAAACTGAACAATTTAACATAAAAGCCAAGATATGGTGAACGCTTTCCGGGTGATTAAGATTTTATTTTGTTAAATCGGGAAACCATAATCAAATTTTTTTCAAAGTTTGAAAACTTTACGATTTAACTCTGGAAAAATTCGTTAAAAGGCTGGACTGTAAGTTGTATATTTAGATTAATTTTCTTAGTATTTAGTATTTGAACTGTATGGTTCAATATGGAACTTTTGTAAAATAACTCAAATATTATTAATTCATGCATTGTTTATTCGATAATTACATTGAATTAAAACTAAAAAGTATTAATTTTTTGAAACCTTTTTTTTATAACCCTCATATGAGATCTCAAAATCCACACAATTTTGTTATTCCTAAACAAATTAGTATCTATACACTATTGATTAGGTATATAATTAAAATAAAAATCTAACATAATATTAAACTACATATATTTGAGCTTAAAGAATAACTTTACTCGGAAGTTGGAATTTATTATTTTTTAAATAAGCATTATATCTGCCATGGAATTTAAATATATTAATTAATCTGTACATGTCTATTAATACTATAATAGAAATATTTAAAATTAAAGGCTGTAACTTATATGTATAGATATGTAGGCGCAAGCGTTAAAAAACTTATACAGTTAAAACCTCTAACTTTTGTGCAAGCAATATGTAAATTATTTAATAATGAAACAAAACATATTCATGACATATAAACATATTATATTATTATACTTACCGATTGTTTATAGATATCTGCAACCCTCTGGCCGGCGTCGAATCCTTTTTTGCTCCTCACGAGAATCGCGATGTTTTTCACCGGACAAGACCTGAGTAATTTTTCCGTGAGTATTTTCCCCAAAAATCCCGTACTCCCGGTGACCAAAAACGTCCCGTTTCTAAATGTTTCGGCTATACCACCGGCTGTTTCCATTGCACTTTATTGCGGTTTCGACGGCGCACGACACGAATCACTAAGGAATTATTGTTATACGGACTGTTTTATAGTCGCAGGGCTGCGGTGTTGGGAATATAATATGCGACGAGCTAGTATGACTGCGAATAAAGTGCACGAGACACGGAACCTCCGCGGATAACCAACTCAATCGGTGCTCGTGATAATGTCGCTCTATCCTTATATACATAAGTATATATGATATGTATACGCTACCTATGACCGGATACTGCAGTTGCGGTTACGGGAAAAGTCGTCCCCACTGTTCCGCCGGGCCGCCAGGCGTTCGTCAAAAACTAAAAAACCCGATTAAAAAAAAAAAAAAAACCAATTATTAATAATAATAATAATAATATCAGTGATGATGCACGCACGAGTGCTGAGAAATCGGTTTTCAAACTTAACCCGACAAATGCGTAGAGATACGTACACGTACTACATATATTATATACCCGCAGACGTTTTAACATATATTTATGTGCGTGTGACGTTCATGCTGTACCTGCGATAGGCCATATGATATGTATGTGTTATGCGTATGTTGTACTATACAGCAATGACATGTGCGCAGGAGCAAACGGGTATGTCGAGATGTGAAATGTGATGAATACGAGTGTTGTCTATATGCCCGCGGCTTGTCCAGGAATTTCGTGGAAGTGATGAATCGGCGGAGTGTTGGATATCAAATATATAAAAAAACGACTTCAAATCACTGTTAAAAAATGTGTGTTTTTCCCATTGTTGCAGGGCCTTGTCGAACCGCCCCTGCACGTCCATAGCAGCACAAACATACATGGGTATACTAAACGGATTACAAGTATTTTTTAAGTGTTTTGTTGTGCCTATACTCGGGTTAAAGTTCAAAAACAAAAAAGTGAGGCCCGGGCTGCACGGATAACTTTATCGTCTTTTGGTTTGATAATATTTAAATTTAACGCACTTTAAGTACGTACTGAAGTGGCGCCTCCCCAAGAACATAATATGTATTTAAAAACGTTGTAGTCCTTTACTCGTGTATCAGCTTAATACACAAACGAATAAGATAGGGGACTGGAGGGCATATTTGAAGTGTGGATTTCGAAAAAGATTTTATTAATTTTGAAATTGCAAATAATTTTCCAGTGAAATATAGAAAAATAATATTAAAAGTGGATTTTTTTTTATAAGAATTCAAAGTTTTTATGAGACGAAGACAACAGAGTAGTGAATTAAACGTTTAGAGGAGTTTTATACAATATCACTATTAGGTACTATAAATATATTATTGTCATTATAGGTTCAATAAAATTATGACATGTAAATATAATAATATACAAAATAGTTATTTTGTTAATTTTAATTGTTTTTATCCTGTTGCCATTTGTAAATGTATCTAAAAAAGATGTAATATGTTGAGAACTTTTGTAATGTAGAGCTAGTTGATATGGCTGTCAAAGTCAATTTTCGGATTTTGTGGTTTCAAAAATCGTTTTTATCTCATAGACTTGAAGTAGTTTTGTTGATTTTAAAAATAAATTTGGCTATAACCTATAGCCAAAAATACTAATATGATTCCAACAGCACATATATCTATTGTAGAAGCATCACTAGATTTATCATTTTAAATTTTTTTATCTGATAAAGTTGTTCGGCTCTTAGGAAAATTCAAACTTGGCAATTAAAATGACCGAAGAAAGACTTTTGTTGATGATTAACATATTGTGTAAATTATATTTAATTACTTACAGATTACATATTTCTGAAATATACTCACTTACTAATTAAAGGTACTTGATTAAAGAAGATTTCATGAGAATAATAATTAATTATTAGATAATTAGAACTAAATTAGTACGCAAACGTAATTGCATGTAACACTGTCTCAAAAACAAAATTTTGAGGCACATATAGTCATATGATGGCAGATGGGTTATGTTAACTGTTATGTGCACTTATTCAGATCAGGGCTTATACTTGTGAGTATACTTATGAGTGCAAATATGTTTTTTGAAATTCATTATGTCTAGTTAGACATTTTAAAATATGAGACGAATAATTTATTGTCGACAGTATTTACATTATTTTTGTTTGAAAACAAATTATAATTTGTGAATTTTTTTTTCAATCTGGTAAATTAATATTTGAAAAGCTTTGATGTTTTTTTTGTGGATGTAATAATAATTTACCAGTTATGGACTTTTTTTTATATACATATTTATATATAGCTTCCAGTACTAGACTAATTACATGTACAATTACAATTACAGTTATGAACTTATATCACGGAATCGGATATTTTTTTTTTATAAATACGTTGTACATATTTATGCAAATTATGGTAATATATATATATATATATATATATATATATATTATATAACCATGTATTATCTGTATTAAATTGTTTACAACTGGTTTTGTAATTCTCTCCCTAGCTCACATCGATAATCTATTCTTATTTATTTCTTTCTTTCTTTTTCTGTTAATATTATCATAATATTATTATAGTCTTGCTACCTTTTTTCTCTATCTTTTAAATATTATAATTATTATATTTTATTGTATAAGTATTAACTATACATAATCAACTACAGTTAGTTTACTCGATTTTATCTACACCACCTGTAATAATTGTAATTGTCGAACTATAATAGTTGTACCCTGAAAGTTCTAAATAAAAAATAAAAATAAAACTATCTATTATTTTTATTTTTATTTTATTTAAGGTATGATTAATCCAATTTAATATGTAATTAATTAATTACTATAATTATATTTATACAGAGAAAGACTAATCATAACGACTGGTAAATGATAATGTGATGTAATTATTGAGATGATTAAATATTTTACTTACCTAATAAACAAGTAGCACTGTTGTTTGTTATTTCTATATGCAGGTATAAAAAAAAGCAAACAGTAATTAAAGCGTTTCCAAATTGTTTGAACACCTTGAATACCAATGTATCGTATATGTTACAACTAGGATGAGGGTTTTAATTGCATTTTTTTAGAATGTCCTAAAACAATGCTTTTCAATCACAAAATTCGATTCATATACTAAACAATTAAGAATTAAACTTTTATTTGATATTTTAAGGTTTTTAAGGCATTTTTTCTTATTTGTACTTTTACATACTTAGTTCATACTATTATCGGAAACCATTTTGATTTTCTCGTAAAAGAAAAAAATTCATATTTCTATGTATACATATGATTTTACTGACTATATCAGATAAATACAATGACGCTTATCTGATATAATGAAGTTAGCGATTAGATATATTTTAGCGACATCGTATAATGTAGTCGTATTGCACTATATTTTGTACTGTTGTGTTGACTACAGTCTCGTCAGTAACTGATTCTCGAATGATTTTTATAGTTTTGTTTTGCGTAATTAATAAAAAAAGTTTATTCTTTGATGATAAAAATAATTTTAATGCATTTTCCAACAATTTTTTCATAACTGCGATAAATTGTTATTTTTAAGGCATTTTTCTTGTTTTTAGAACATTTAAATTCTCACCTTTTTAATTACCAATTAGTAATTATATGTCTATATAACATAAATCGTACTTGAACATGTAAATATGCAATCAATAATTATATTAAAAATATTTAAACATTTATACTTTAAAGGTTATGTACCTAAAATTTAAAAAAAAAGTGAATGATCAAATTTCATTTTTTATTTAAATAAAAAATGTGTGAAATGACGAGACAAATTGAAACTTATAGCACTGCAAAGTAATGGACGTCCTCTTCAAATTTAAGTGATCTTATAGATGGTATAAATTATTTCAAAACTAAATTTTGTCAGTTATTATACATTGGGAAATTAGGAATTATAATATTAGGTACTTATACCAGCGATAATCGATAGTACCTACAGACTGCAATAGAAAAAACGATTTAAAAAAAAAATCTTCTACGTCACTGAATAACATTCCTTATTATGATGTTATGTAAATTGTATCTTAGATAGGAGCAGCCATGAAATTTGACCCCTACCCCCCAACAATTTTCACTGTCCAGAAACTTAACATTAAAAATATAAAATAAATAATTATGTATTTCGCATAATATAACAATAAGTTATACCCATTTAAAATTGAATATGTATATTGCGTGGTTATTTTCAGTACCGTAATCAATCTTATTTACATTTTTCCCTTCCAAAATATTGTAGCAGGATAACCTATCAAAATTTTCTCAGCCACTCCTTTCGCGTAAACAATTTCCGAGCACTCCTATGACGTAGGATATAAAATATTACATATAGAATATAGAAAGATATAGGTAGATAGGGGATCCGGGACTCGTAAATACTGTACAGTACAATGCTATAATTACATACAGTGGAAATGATTAATCCATCTTCCCAAAGATTCTGAGACCAATTTTTATTTTTCGATTTACGGACTTCCACTCCCACCACATTTGAGTGGATTTTGTTATTGTTGTTGTTTTGGTTTTTTTTTTTAAACACGGTGCAGCGTACCTGCTTTGGATATCATACGGGTTTTTCGTGACGTCAGCGAAACGAACACGTATAAACAGAAAACTACATAATATTTATGTTGCGGTTGACTGCAAGCAGTGGTTAGTAGGTACGCGTTCGTCGTCGATGACGCATTTTTGTTTACGCGCGTCATACGATTGCTGGTACCACCCACTACCTACACATTACCATGGTAAACCGATTAAAAACCCATGAACTTGAACTGGAATAAAAAAATGTCTAATATATTGCAACAGTTCGATGGTTTTTATTCAGCAGCCTGTTTGCTCTCGAGACTCTGAGTTAATATAAACTGGTAAACTGGTAACTATCATCGGGTCGGTGGTAAACTTTTTCGAAAATAACTTAAGTTCTACGCCTAGTTTTACGTGAAACTATCTGTACAGCGTGCATACATGCATTATTGTTGAACATTTAATTTCTGAACGACTGCACTTTTCTTTTTTAAATATTTTTTGGTACACTTAGTGAACAATTTCGACATTAAGAATATTATGCTTATTCATAAGATACATTTTGGAAATAAATACAAGTACTGACATAATATATATAATAATAAGTAATAACTGTATCATTTTACTCCGGGCACTTCCAAGACGCTAACTTTTCATAAGGGTTTTTTTGATAGAGTATGATATTTACCCCTCTCCCCGTTCATTTTTTTTTTAAGTGGACAT